TAATGCTCTACCACATTCAGACGTTATTGGTATCAAACAAATTTCCATATAATTTATGGAACTAAATGGGCTCTTACAAGAAGCTAATTTAACTTCATATATTTTCTATTGTTTGTGTTATCAATATTTCTCCTTCAACATCCATGTAGAACACAAAATAACATATGAAGTCAAAATTAGAGCGTAGAAGAAACCAAACATAATCTTGAAATAGCAAACCAATAATTCTGTAATAAACTAAACTTAGGTCTTGCCAAAAATCAAACCAGCTACGGAAGTGATCTCTCTTTACTGTTCCATGGACAACAACAGAATGATTAACATCCTGCAGGCAATACTGTATTTTTTTTTTTTCTTTCTCTCAGCTTCAGTTTTAAAATTGCAGTTTCCTAGGGACACAATTTATATCACAGGCAAGCTGTACTAGGAGCCAGAATAAACTTGTGACAGTTAATTTCTGTCAAACATATATAACCTCACAGCAGTATATATGAAGAGCTGATAGCAATCTTCACACAGATCCTGACAATAGCAGCCCAGCAGAAAAGAGTTTCCAATATTTTATCTTGCAGCTGTCTCTCTAAAATTGTGTGTTCAGGATACTATCCACAGAGCAGAAATACTAGGCATAATTTTGACATACAGCCTGTTTTGAATTAATATATGAAATGTATTACAGAAAATAAACTCAATTGCACATTTCTGCTAATATGATTCTTTACATTAGAAGGTATATTTATCATGTCAAGCACAGCCAGAAAGTACTACACGGTCTTTTCCTCAAAATGCAACACCTTCAGTAGGAGGTTTGGCCCTTACAGGACTGTCTGCTAATGTTTTGTAAGAACTGCATGCAAACTAAACTGTGTTGCAATTAACTCTGTAAGTGTACTCTTACATTAAAGGAATTATACATGTGATATGCTTGGGGAGGTGGGGGAATCCTAACGACTCTCTTGTTTACCTCATCAGTTCTGAAGAGTTCACATGGATTCTTTTGTTTAATATTATTTCACATTCCAAATGGCACCGCCCTGAAGGACATCTGTGTAATAAGAAATTATCTATTTTTATCAGGTTACTTATATTAAATTCTTTGCGATTTAATCTAATGAAGACATACATAGAAACTATTTAGCGTATTCATTTTCTTCCTACTCATACCTGGCCTTTCCACTAATTTAAGATGTAACTAAGCTAACTTTTGAAACACGCTTGTATAATCTTCAGTGTTACATAATTACAGACCTAAAAACTTTTTTTCTGGCACAAGCATCAATACAAAAACTGAATTTGCTTTCATGAATTATAGGTTACCCATTATGAAATAATATTAGCACTTCCAAGAAGGCACAAAAAGTTACTCTGAAATCAGCAACAATTCAGAAGTTATAGTTATGACAGTCTTGTGACAGTCTTATGACATAAGAAATGTTAAGTTAGCATATCCTGAAGTCATACCCATTAAACATCAGTCATTTTACCATTTTCTTCTGGTAACGGTCAGCTCCCTATCCTGTTTCAGAACTAAATCCAGACGAAACAAACATCACTCTGTAAGTCTAGAGACTGAACGACAGGCCTAAGGCCAAGAAATGATCCATTCGGTTGGCAAAAGTAAGCACTGAAATAAGAAACATTTTTACTAAACAGCAGTGTTAACTGAAAATAATAATATACAGTTGCAGTTCTAATATAACAAAGAATGCTCACCAGTGAGTGTCAGTAGTTGTGCTTTACAAAGAAAACATAGGTTTGCTTGTTTGCTAAATTTGACTGAGTCTGTCTACTAAGAAGGACCGTCAAACTGAAAAACAAAGGTCGAAATTTGATTTCATCTTTTACTCGTCTAATTCTGATCAAAATCTGATTCACCAGTCTAAGATGTTGTGGTGGGTTGACCCTGGCTGGACACCAGGTGCCCACCAAGCCGCTCTATCACTCCCCTCCTCAGCTGGACAGGGGAGAGAAAATATAACAAAAGGCTTGTGGGTTGAGATAAGGACAGGGAGATCACTCAGCAATTACCGTCATGGGCAAAACAGACTCGACTTGGGGAAAATTAATTTAATTTATTACCAATCAAATCAGAGTAGGGTAATGAGAAATAAAACTAAATCTTAAAACACCTTCCCTCCACCCCTCCTTTCTTCACAGGCTAAACTTCACTCCCAGTTTTCTCCACCTCCTCCCCCCCGAACGGCGCAGGGGGACAGGGAATGGGTTGTGGTCAGTTCATCACACATTGCCTCTGCCGCTCCTTCCTCCTCAGGGGGAGGACTCCTCACACTCTTCCCCTGCTCCAGTGTGGGGTCCCTCCCACAGGAGACAGTTCTCCAGGAACTTCTTCAACATAAGTCCTTCCCATGGGCTGCAGTTCTTCACGAACTGCTCCAGCGTGGGTTCTTTCCGTGGGGTGCAGTCCTAAAGCAACAGACTGCTCCAGCATGGGTCCCCCACAGGGTCACAAGTCCTGCCAGCAAACCTGCTCCAGTGTGGGCTCCTCTCTCCACAGGTCCACAGGTCCTCCCAGGAGCCTGCTCCAGTGCAGGCTTCCCACGGGGTCACAGCCTCCTTCGGGCATCCACTTGCTCCTGCGTGGGGTCCTCCACAGGCTTGCTGGTGGATATCTGCTCCACTGTGGACCTCCATGGGCTGCAGGGAGACAGCCTGCCTCACCATGGTCTTCACCACAGGCTGCAGGGGATCTCTTCCCTGGCACCTGGAGCACCTCCTCCCCCTCCTTCTTCACTGACCGTGGTGTCTGCAGAGTTGTTTCCCTCGCACGTTTTCACTCCTCTCTCCAGCTGCTGTTTTTGCACAGCATTTTTTTTCCCCTTCTTAAATATGTCATCCCAGAGGCACTTCCACCGTCGTGGATTGGCTCGGCCTTGGCCAGCGGCAGGTACATCTTGGAGCCGGCTGGCATTGGCTCTACCAGACACAGGGGAAGCTTCTAGCAGCTTCTCACAGAAGCAACCCCTGTAGCCCCCCAGCTACCAAAACCTTTCCACGCAAACCCAATCCAGATGTGTAGAAAATCACTCACACAAACTCCTTTATTTCCTATAGTTAAAAGGTATTTGGTTCTCCACGTCTAGCAACTTCAATTATTTTGGAGTTCTTAATAATTAACTATAAACTTCTCAAAATCAAAAGTTATTGTCACTAACAGAAACCATTTATCTCCTTTCACAAGAGGTATTGAAAGGGAACACAGTTTATGAATTATCTCACTGTTTCTAAAACAGCATACATACAATATTCTGTCACCTTTAAAAGAAATCTAAAGACAAACTCAAAGACAAGGATGAGGAAGCATATCATCCAAAGGACTGAAGAAATACTTAGTAGATTCAATCTTTGAAATAATTATGGGACTATTTGACAACCGAAGCCTCTCTGGAACTTTAAGTACTGTCAATTTCTACCATACTAAATATTAGAAATACTTCTCTATCGAGCACTGCTTAAAATAATAAAGCATTGCCCAATAACAGTATAAGCAATTGGGTAAGCTGGAAAACTCAGTCTTCTATTCAACCTTTGTTTAAAATGTAAGTTAAAAAATACTAAACATTTTCTAAAGGCACTTCACAAATTAAACTAATGAATTGCTAGAGAAAACACTGTATTAATAAAGGCTTCTTCCATTTTTTCTCTGTACTGGACTGCAAAGAGGTAGCGTGACAGCAGCAGTCTTTGCTACTCTGCAAAATGTCCTATATGGGCTATTGCACTATTAAAAAATGGTGTGACCTCACATTCCTCAGAGCACAAAAGATAATTCATCAATACTGAAAAACTCTTTGAAAGAGTCTTTCCAAGGAATAGTTGGAATTGCCAGGATAGTTTAAAGGACGCCAACGAATTACAGACAGTACTGTTCTCTGAGAATTTTTATTTAATATCTGTAAACAACATAGTTTAAGTATAGACTCACAGACAGATAAAAAACTCCACTCTACCTTGTTTTGGTCTAGGTAGTGACTGCTGTTTCTCAGCTGATATTTACATTGCTTTTAATTTATATATTCCTACTGACTTGAACTGTATCTTTGGATGCATTTTATTTGACTGGCAAAGGCAGTGGCCTAGCTCCACTGTTAAGACAGAACTGAGAGTTTCGCTCTTGATGAGAACATGTGGGTGCACATGCATAGTAGCATGTACCTGCCACATCTTCCAGTAACTTCCTAATTGCTAAAGGAAGGCAATTAACATTGAACAAACCACAGACTGGTTCCACAGCTGCTCCAAAAAAAATTTCAGGCTAAAGCAGCATGGAATCCCACTCCATTCCTCTGGCAGATAAGTTATGTCCTTCTCCTGAATTCCCCTTATCCTCCAGGAATGTAGAGGAAGTCCAGATTTTACTTTATACATAAATGGAAGTGTATGTATAAAGTACATTATATATACATATACACGTGTGTGTGTGTGTATGCACTTACACATGTGGGAGTGGTAAGTTACAGTTAATTCACTGAGATTTAAGAGTGATATGTATAACATACAGGAAACACAAAACTTAAAGACTCCCCAGACCACAGAAGAAGAAAGAATGTCACTGTCTCTCAGTGCTCTACTCAGCATGAACACAAAGGAGAGAACTATGTGATTTTGCAAGTCAGGTAAGATGCATCAAAGATACAGTTCTTAAAGTCAGTAAATATGAATATACAAATTGAAAGGGGTATAAATATCAGCTGAGAAACAGCAGACAGTACTTGGACCAAAACAAGGTAGAATGGAATCTTTATATCCATCTACAAACCTGCACTACATTTTTTACCCATAGTAAATAAAAAGATATCAGAGAACAGTACTGTCTGTAATTCATTAATATCCTTTTGAACTATGCTGGGAAATTCATCATTTGCAGTAATTAAAGGTAAATTAATGTTGACTAAATTAGCACCAACTTATCTTTGTGCTCCACTCTCATCTAGGTTGTCAAAAAGTCTTTAAAGCACTTAAACTAGATTGACAAGTTGTACCTGCTATTTCTGTAAGTATAGTTGCATGATCATTTTCTGCCAACTTCACAAATCCAACTTCATTTTTGAAGTGATCAATTCCTTGAAAAGACAAATCCACGGTTTTTCCTTTCAGGAGATCTTCTACAAAATCCTTGCTGTCTGAAAGAGCACCAACTGCTCTGTCAAGAGGAAAGAAAATATCTATGTGAAAGTCAAATATATTAATACTGTTTACATTGCTATTAATCATTCTGTCCAAAAATCTCACAAAACTTTATTAGTATCAATTTATTATCTACTCAGGTACTTTTGCACTACTTCCTATCAATGCAGTCAGTATTATTATTACCATTTTATAAAGGTAAACTGGTTCATACACCCTGCTGTAAAACCAGAGAAATAATAAGGCAGACCTAGCAGCAGGTGTAATTCCTCAAAAGAGTTTATCTCAGTCCTCCAGGTGACTAGATATTAAGATGATAGTGTCTCTATTACTCTGTGCATCCCATTTAAAAAAGGTGCTTACTCAGAAGCATTTGGTTTTCCATTCTTAAATTAATTCATTTTTTTCATCTCCTGATAATTCAACTGAACACTCTAAAATTCTGATTCATTCAAAGTGACTCCAGAGTGTTACTTAATATTATAAACAGAGGTTAGTGACATTATATATATATGTAATGATAAAATTATATGGAAATTACTATTAAGTTCATTGAGAACTGTTATTAAAAGAAGTACTATCTAAATTGATGCTTATTTTCAAGAGGTAAGTAGCATGCACACATAATCTACATGTAACTTAAGAAACAGGAGCAAACCTGGTAATCTTTTAATAACCATTTTAATTAGCCATATTATGTGCATGCCCGATTACATGAAATATTTGTTTTGACCTGCACTTGAAGTGATTCACATGCTAAACAAAAACTATATAAACATTCTTAGTGTCTTCTAAAAGATCTCTCACTTGCTCACAGTTTTTAACTCTATTCAAGTAAACCGAATTTAAACTTTTCACTAAACCGACACTGACTTTATAAACGCTAGGTGGCAGTGACAGGTTAAAAACTCTCAAGAGAGCTTATTTTACTTCTTCTGTCCTAGCTGGATGAAAGCCATCACCATGATTTCTAAAGTAGGCTAAACTATATTCTTTAAGTCTGTACAATTACAAACAACTCTACAGGTTTCCATTGTGTTTAATAAGATGGACTCTTGATGAGAGCTATGCCTTTAATTGAAACATGGGCCAGATTAAGAAAGACGTTAAGGTTGATTACATGACAAAATACCCTTGATTGATATAGTCCTCCTGTGTGTTTTTTTATAGGACTTTAATCTACAACCTAGAAGTACTTTAGGTCCTATATAACCACTTTAAACAACAGTGCCATTACTTGTTGGCAAAGATATTTTTCTTTAAGCATAGTCTCTGCCACTTACCTACCCTTTCATCATCATTAGACACGCCTGTTCCTATGTCTTCTGTATGTGCTATACTTCAAGACCTTTCAAAAACACCATCTAATACTGATTATACCTGTCAGATTACTTCACAGGTAATCATGTGTAGATTTATTTACCCACGTGAACCTGAAAATTGTTCCAAAACAAGTACAGATATTTCAAATACACTGTGTCAAAGACTGCAGCGGGCTTTCAAGTAGTAGAATCATGCACATACCTAAAACCCATCTCTGGATTTTTTGCATCTGAGAACTGGTACACAGAGAGTCATGGAAAGCTCTGTTCCCCAGATGAACAATGATTTATATTTCCATACTGTAGGGTGTGCCGCAGAACTCACTGACCAGCTCAATTCTACCTGATGAGGTCTATGAAAGGTCAATTCAAACAATGTAGTGTGTTTTCCGTTTAGCACTGTGTCACTGAAGATTTAGTTCTACTTTTTCTTTTATATATAAGCTTGTAAACACTAAAATACTTAGCAAAATAGTTGTCATCTCACTCTAGCATATTTTGTATTTTCATATTCTATCAATCACCTTACAATGTCTAACAATTGCTTTGTAAGAATAACGCACAAGGACAAACATTTCCACTGAAGTCAATAGCAACAAACACAACAGTGGTATTTTCTTGTTATTCCATACCAAATGGATTTGGTTTTTACGATGCCAAATAGTAGTTACACTCAGTGCAACTAACCCACAGGGATAACAAAAAAGTTTACAACCATTTTGCTCCAAAGTGGAGAAAGGAAATAAAAAAAAAAAAATTAAGCAGCATATTCTAAGTGAATACAAACTAGGATTATAGAAGCAGTGCCTGTTTTTTTTTTATATTGTTGTAGTATAAATATTATAGCATTTAAAATTGATGTAGTTTCTTTTTAGAAATTTCTGAATTGTTAATTTTCATTACTTGTTAGAAAAAGCAACCTTGCAAAAAAAGCGAAACTGAATCCTTTCAGCTTTCATATTTAAAATGAAAAGGTTAGATTCACAGCGTCTTTGACAAGTAACAAGCAAGAAGAACTTGATACTAGTCTGACAATGAAGGCATTTACTGCAAAGGCAGGCATCCTGATTTCTAGTACCTGATCCCATGACTATGTATACAATTAGCATGGACTAGAACTCCTTTGCTTGAAGGGAGGGCTGTCATGACTCTTGCTTGCTTGCTTGCTTTATAGTTTTTAAAATCTCACATTTATGATTTCACATAATCCTACAAAAAGAGATGTAAAGTGCATTCATGAAGGCTAGATCATGGCCAATCAGTTAGGAAATTCGCATGGGAATTGCAGGTCTGGATTCCCTTAGAAAGAGCAGCCTAGAATACAGATCTTCCATTTTCAGGGTGAAAGCTGTATGTACTAAAATACCGTACAAAGGGCTTTGTGCTGAATTGAATGTTATGTTTAGTACATTCTTATCACGCGTTTTGACTTCAAATAGCATTCAACACATTTCATTTCTGTATAGACAGAGGCACTATTGTGCAAACACGGTAGAAAAACTGTAGATATCTAAGAAACTTAATGGATCCAAACCTAAGGATCTATGAACTCTCAGATGCCCAGTTGACTAGCTGCACTTTGTTTGAGGGATTATTCTCACCCTATGTTACACACAGGCTCTTTTGCCAACCTGGATCTTGGTTTCTTTCCATTAACCTGGTATCAAAAATTGGTGAAGCAAAGAAAGGAAAATTCAACTTTTTATTCTTCAAGTTCTCCCAAAAGATTAAACAGAAAACATCAGTTATGGAGGGGAAAAAAAAAAAAAAAAAAGAATCCCATATAATAGAAAATGCAATCTAGAATACCTGAGGATAGCTGAGCTAGATACCTGTAGGAGGCATCTGGCCAGGGAAGGGGTGAATCACTGGGGAAGCTGCTGCTGACTAGAGGACAGCTCCTGGGTGCCTGGACTGTGGAGTTCTGCTGGGAGAGGCAGAGAAGAACTCCGTAAGTAAGTGCTTGGGTGGCAGTCGGACAGTGAGAGCTGAGAAGGAGCTCAAGGAGTAGCCGAAGATACCCAATTTGGGAATATTTCTTTTGATACACAGTTTAGGACTCTAAAAATATTCATGAGGAGGCATACTTGCCTTTGAGACATCCTCTCACATTCCCTTTTTAAAAAGTTCATATTTCAAACCCTTTTAAAAAAATCTTGTGCACACAGTCGGTGGTTATTCTCACCGATTTTCAGGTGCTACCAGTTTGCTCATCAACCAGGGCAGGAGGAAGCTAGTGTGTCTACTCCAGGACACAAAAGGCATATGGAGAGGAGAGGGAGTCCAGCAGATCTAGATCCTTTGCTTTCCTTTCTATTCTCTGTTCCTGGCTATCTGTTCCTCTCCCTTTAGATCAGACTGTTGGAGACGAGGATGCTGACAGACTTGCATCCTCACAGGAGAGATAAGACTGTAGAGGCCTCAAGGATATAGCACTCAAGGCAAAAAGTGTGAAAAACAAGCAAGGCAATTCATTTAGATATACTGTTATCTCATTATTTTTAGGTGTGTTAAAATGTTTTTAGCCAAAATACTTCCACTTATTAGAAGCATACTCTTTGACTACCAAACGGTTCCTACATTCCATCTTGGATTCTTGCTTTCTTAGGAGCAATCTGCACTTTAACAAGCAAACCTTCTGGGGGAAAAATTATTCAACACACATTTATTAGACACATTATTTTGTAACTGTATTACCATAACCAAAGCAATGTCTCACTGCACTTACTCATTATTTGATCTAGATAATTCAGTACATGGACCGCATGCCTGCTACCACTGCAAAGAAAACCAGGAAGATAGATATATATGACAGAGGGCCCCTGAAAGAACTCATTTGGGGGAGATGAAACCGTGAGGCTTCTCTTTCACGGAATTATAAGGATCTGATGAATTTTAATTCATTAGCAATTCACTACAAAATTGACACATAAGCAATGGAGGATTCCCAGATGCTCATATAATGCCAATACGCCATTTATCAGCATTTTACATAATACTCTCTTACAGTTACCAAAGCGTTTGCAATCTCAATTCTGCAATTACAACGTGCAAATAGAGACATCACATACGCAGGCCATTGGGCACCACATCTAAATAGAAACTATCAAGAAAGTCTGTGTAAAGCAGGACTATAAAATGCAATGTATGTTTTCATTTCAAGTCAAAATTACAGCTAGACACACAAATTATTATTATGAACATTCATAAATTACAGCTGTATAGATAGACCTAAAAGTCTGAACATCTTCCTATTAACCACTGAACTTGTACATTAAAGTAGGCTTGTCAGATAGCAGTACATGTGGTAAACAGTAAAAAACACCAAAGAACTGCATTTTTATAAAGCAAGTAGTCGCATCTAACACTTAGACATGACGTCATTGTATAATACATACGCCTTTCCACAACTTTTCTACCTTTTATGTGATCAAAAAAATCAGCTATATCATTGAAGCAACATAAAAATTATACTTTTGATAAGGCCTAATAGCCACCTCTCTTTTAGTGGACTTAAATTTTGAGTATAATAAATTCATTTAGGGACAAAAAAACGCCCTATAACTGCATGAGGCATTAGCTTGGAGCTAAGGTTTACTTTATTAGTCTTTCAGTGACAATTACTAATTTGGCTTATAACATTTGCTAAGCTATGAAATTCTGAAAATTCCCCTGTTAATCTGTTCATTGTCCCCTATATCAAAACATTGTTTTAAAATAATTACTTTAGCAAACGTAAGATTTGTGCATGCAAGTTCAGCACACAGTATGAAAAATGCAAGGGAAAAAAGCATACTTTGTTCAGAGCTCATGACATACCGTAAGTTATAAAAATGGCTAATGTTAAGATTAGCATTTTAAGAACAACATGAATTAAATGTTCAGTAACCCCAGTAATTTAGGGCTGACAAAAGATAAGCATCAGTTACCCCTTCTAGTCTTTTTATGAGCAAAAATACTTGTATACACTTAATTTAACACCAAATACCTACATGCTAATTTCTTCTTCATTGGATAAATGCATCACAAACATAGTGACATGCAACGAGCCAGAGTGAACCATTGCTTTGGAAAGCCTTTGATCCTTTTGTCTTATTGCATCTTGGACAGCCTGAATACTGCCAGTGATCTGGGAAGAAAGACAGACACAGAAACAACAGTTAGCCATTACAATTACTGTATCCCATCATGCAAGCGAACAAGAAAGCATACACACTGAAATCAAACGTTTATGTAAAAACCATTCTAGCAGAAGAAAGTTTTATCCTCTGACAAAGCTGTGCTAATTGACCCAAGTAAACTCAAAGTGGGTATGAATGGAGTGATTAATAAATCACTGGACACTCCCCATCACATCTTAATAGGAGTTTGCTTCCATAAGTATGATAAATTCCTGGACCAGATTAAGATCATCCAGTTTTACACTGCCAGTAATCCAAATAAAAGTCTTCTTCAAGGACTTTCTCTGCCCGCTTTGCTAAACTTGTATGTTGCTATGTGCAGACAAGTGTCTGGAAAAAGAGATCTTTGCAGGATTGGGCACATACAAAACAGGAATATTCAGTAAATAATTTGTAGAGATTTACAATTTACAATTCTAATTATACTGTCCAGTAGACAGATATAATTTATATACTCTCTTCAAACATATTTTAATGTTTCCAGACAACATGTATACAGTTTTAACTTCATCAGTCTTTTTCTTTAAAATTATTTGAATTACATTTTCTTCTTGAAAATTATTCGTATGGTTATACATGCTTTAAAAATTTTATCCAAAATGTTTACTGTGCTTGCCATTATGATAGTTGTATTGTAGTGATTTAACAAAAAAAAAAAAACAACCCACACCCACAAAAAAAACCCTGCAACAATTCTTGAATATGTTAGTGGAAATTAAATTGAATCCAATAACCTTGACCATCTGACAAAATGAGTTATTTCTTAAAGCATGATAAGCAAAGACATTACAGACAAATTAGCTTTGGTGTATAAAGTCTAAAAGAAGCATGTAGAAAACTCCAATGTAATTTTTTTATTTATTTGAAACTCAGTGGTGAATGCTTCACAAATATACTGTACATATTGACTTTTATAACATAAGCACAAGTAGATCTTAGGTTAAAAAAAAAAAAGCCTTGATATATTTTGGTAGCTCTGTTAATCATAAGGAACACATAAGTTTCCTGAAAAAACACAATCCAATGGGATTGGTCAGTATTTTTCTGACCAAATTTCTTAAGATTAGTTATTAGTTTTGCCATGCAGGAGCTTTACCTAATGTGCTGTAGATATCTAGTAGTGCCATATAAAGAAAACCAAATATAAAGAGCTGAAAGGAACCAGCTCCAGGGAGGGTTGGGAGGAGGAAGGAAGGTAAAAGCCACTTGCCAGAAAAAGGTGATATGGCATCTACAAAACCACAAGTGTCTTAGCTAGTGTAGGACATATGAAGAAAATTGCACCAACATTGTGAACATAAATCATCTTGTAATAAGACCATCTTCCTTTTTATGTCAGAATTGATATTATCCTGGATAAATAACACTTTTATTGTCTCAGATGTAGGAGAAATTTAACTCACATTTAAGCAAAAAAATGGTAAACATAATCCCTGATAATTACAATGTATTTATTGACTGCATAATTATTTAAGTTTATAAACTAACGCAAATGCAGTTATCCCCGTACAGAAAAAAAAAACGCCCTCAAAAATGAAATCACATATGAAATATGAATTACAATTTTATTCCATTTCCAACTACTGCTTCTAAATTTAATTTGCACCTGAGAGCTGGCAAAGAAAAAAAAAAAAATGTAAGTGTACAAAGCCCTTCAGAATACAGAAGACAGGCGTGGAACTGTGTTATCATAGCAGTAAGACCATCCTAGCTCTGAAAAACACCAATGTTATTCAGCATTCAGATTAGCAGCTAATACCCCACATCCCCTTATCCATATAGTTTCCTTCAGTAGTACTTCCGAGTCCCTTCCTGCTCATGTCCTAAACTACCTCCAGCTCCCTCATACAGTTCAGTTCTGGCCTGGGCAAGAAGGAACACATGCTGTGGCTGATTTTGAGCTATAAGGGGTTGACTGGCTAACAAATATGCAGATACTCATTCGTCAGCTGGCAGGTAATTGCCACATTCACACTAGTCTTCAACACAAGCATGTTCTTTCAAGGCTCTCTCTTTTACGCAAGCACCAATTCCACAAAAATTGTAGGAAATTAGTACAAATGTCAATTTTTTTATTGCTGAACCCACCAGGAAAGTATGAAATGAGCTGCCTTTTTGATAAAGGCAAAATAGAAAGAAGACTGAGCATGTTCTCTCTGGCTAAGTGACAATATTCTACACAATCTACACTATTTGGAAAGCAGAAAAAAAGTTTTCAGAGAATTTCAGGAATTTATTTTTAATATTTCCCAGAAGTTATGTGATCAAAACGTAACACAATAGCTGTAGCATAGCTGTGCCATCACAGTGCATAATATAACTTCAGATTCATTCTGTTTTCTTCAATAAATCTAAAGTGTTAAATCTAATTAACAGTTGAGTGTGATGAATTTTAATTAAGTGAACCAGGATTCTTCCTACATCTCTTTAGGAGAGATGCATACACCACTGCATAAACAAAAAATTTAAATTGCTCTTTAACCTGCTATTTCACCTGCTATTTACATTATCTTACAGAGTTTTATGCTACATTTCAACTGCTATCATGCTGACTATTTCTTTTAACTTGAGATTTCTTAACTTAACTAAAAGAAATGTGTGAAGGCAGATCATATTCAACAATTCCCCCCTCACGTTATTTTAAAAAGTGCTCCAAAATAAGGCCTCAAATACTGATTCCAAGGTCACCTCTCCCATTACTTGGAATATGTTATTCCAAGTGTAATAAAATAACTTAGTTTTGCTTATTGCAAGGATACTACTAGTAAGTGAATATAAAGACTATAAGCTTTAAAGAATTAACAGATTAATTATAATTATAATCAAGACTGGAGGACCCTGAAAGACTAACCTACCAAGTGATAACACATCAGATGAAACATAAAAAAAAAAATACCAGAAAAGGATACAATGAAAATCATCCATTTAACTATTTTTGCACAAGTAATAACGCAAAGTTCAATATAAATTCAAAATTAATGGAACACCACATTTTATTTCTGAAGATTCGAAACATAATTGAAATGAAAACAAGGAAACTGTTTCATTTCCAAGAGGAACAGTTCGTTAAATGTTCCAGAAATATCCCTTATTACAAAATGGTTCTCTGTGTAAAGCTTAAAATACTACACAAAATATAAAGAAAGAGTACTAATGCCTAAAACACTTCACTGGAATAAAATCAGATCAAAAAAAAGAAAGGTCTCTCATTACTAACTGAAATACTACCAGTAATTACCAGATTCCCTCTGGCTATCAAGAAACCAGGTGTCTTAAGTCTAAATTTTGGCTACTGTTGCCTATACAAATTCCAACGTGTATTTTCTACTTTCAGAACAACTCTACATCTAAGGCAAGTATAAACAAAACTTTCTAGCAAAGTCCTGGAATTCCCAAATGCTCTGAGATTTAATACAGTTGCCCCTTTACCTCTGTAAATGATATAAGACTAAATACATGACATATAAAAAAAAGCACGCCTAGTTAAGACTTTCCCACTCAACATACTAACAATCATGAGCAGGAATTCTCAATTATCAGATTATATAACCCCTACATTATTCTTGCACTTGTTAAATCATGGCACAGACAGGAAGAAAAGACATTTCAGAGTAAGACGGCACAAAAGATCTCCCACAATATTCGTGTCATGCTATCCTGGATCTTATAAAACCAGCCTCTGCAATCTCTTCTTCACATAGTACGTTTTGAAGAATCAAAAATTGCACTGTGATTTTCAAACCTACTTTGGTTTATTTTCATTTCAGATTCTCTTAATCTTTGACTTTCTCAGAGAAGTACGTATAGATGTAGGCTGAGTTAAAATTCACCTGAGATAGCTCCTGTTATTGAAAAAGAAACGTAGATTTGGAAATGGTGGTAAACTGTTGGGTTTAACTTTTTAAACATAATGCACCTACTTTCCTTGTTTGCAGACACAAAAGGTATCAAAGCCGTATCAAAGATATCCCATAGTATGTAAGAAATCATTCTCATTCACTGTCTAAATGAGGCAACACATGCTAACTGCAAGAAAATACATTTTCTTAAAGAGCTCTCTGCACTTCTTGAATCCATTTGAACAACATCTCACTAAAACAATAGGTTGTTTGAAATTTAAATAAGATGATTGATTTTACTGGAAAATGTTAAACTACAAACTGCCTAGTTAAAATAGCAACAGATCCAAATTTAAATTCCTATCTATAAGGAGAGCTAAAAATATTGCTAGGGATTTTCTTATTAAATTAAGTAAGAAAGTCTCTCTTCCTTATTCTAAGTGAATGACAAAATAAGCAATACTGGAACAATACAGAGGGGAAATGTTAGCCAGCTTCAGTCAAAATAATGTGAAATCTGTAAGACTGACAAACAGCATAAAAAGATAAGTATTTTTCCTCTAGTCTTTTCCAGATAAGCAATTTTATTCACAAAAATGTTACATAAAACAAAGTTACTCTTTGAATAGGCTGGTAACGTTCCTTTAAAAATACCTGAAAAAAATTATTTTGCTCAAGATCAAACACTGTTCTTCTTATAAAAACATGCAGCTGTTGAAGTAATTCTGGTTATACTAAATATAATAGTATAATAAAGAATATCACCTTTGGATTAGTAATTGGAAGAGAAATGAAATAATTCGGCTGATACTGTTTTTTCTTTTTCTTCTTTCTCTCACTGCCTTCTTCTATTTCCCTTTCAGTAGTCCTCTTTCTTTTCTTTTTTATATTTATTTCAGAGCTTGCATGCACTGAAGAGGAAAAAAAAATTACTTTCAGCATACAGACAAATCAAAACGAAGATATACTTAATATCATGCCAACAGGAGCTGGACTTCAGTCAACTGACTGGAGCATGTCTTCCCAGTCATTTGATCTGCCCATGCTCTGAACTGATTGGGATCCTACTCAAACCTGAATTAATGTAGTCACACAAGTGGAGCACCATACTTGAACTAACAGCCTACACCTCTAAGCAGGGCTTATAAACTACTAACATACAACATGCAGCTTCCAAACTACTGAGTTCCACTTAGCCAACTTACACTGCAGTGGAACAGGCCTGCAAATTGTCTATGCTTGAACGTCCATGTTTCAAAAATCCTATGCACGCTGCATTTTGAAATATAAAACAAGATAATACATAGGATTATTACAGGTTTTATTAGACCAGGACTGGCCAACCTATAGTTCAAGGACCAAACCCAGCCTAGAAGAAAATTTAATCCAAGCCAGATCTCTTCCTTTCCCAAAGACCCCTTCTAACATAGACAGCGAAAGAAAAGTGCATGTCCTGAATTCTTCCTTCGCACCATAAATTATTTTTCTCCCAGCTTATTTCCTCAAGACTTTGCAGACCCTCTCCCACCATGTGGCCTGATACATACCCATAAGCTGACCAGGCTACAGACATCCACTTAGAGGTCCAATTAGAGGTTGTCCTGGTTCCAGC